CTTGAATAAAATTGACTTCCTTCCTCTGACTCTCATCTCTTGAGTATTGGCTTTCAAGTGGCGAGAAGCCAGACCTGGGCCTAGTAACACTGGGTACATGTCTTTCATCACTATAGTATTTGGCTACAGATAGTAAACATGTCCACACTGTGAGGTCATCCAAAGTGAGAGTACAGATGAAAGATAAGTAGAACAAAGAAATTCAGTACTAACTGATGGATGCAGGATCAGGTATGCCTGAGGCCAGAGCACAGTGCTGCTGGATATCCATCTGGATTATTATTTGAATCAGAGAAATGGAAAACATACAAAATGGAGGCATCAGGAAATGTCAGAATTGGAGGAAAACTGAAAATCAGCATCAAGACACAGAGTAGCCATGAGAAACCAAGCAAAGTCATCTGGGTAAAAGATTAAGAGATGGCATCAAGATGCCAAATTCAATCAAGTATGGGCAATGAGAAGCATAATAAATAACCTGATAACTAATGAATCAACACTTTATTTTGATTCTTTTTGAATCCAGGATCTAACTCCCAAGCTTGCTAGGCTGGGGACTGTCAAAAAGGACTGAATAGAAGCTCTGAGCTACAGCAGAGAGTAAGAAATAGGGCAGTTATAGACCAATAGTTCTCCATGGACCTTGTGCTTTCATTCCTCAACTCTCTTTCATTGCATGTGTTAGTACTCTGTATAGTAAGTAAAATATATCTACATTGTATATCTGGCATGATTCTAACTTTCCAAATATCTTCTCTGGTGCAAAAAAAATTGACAGGTTTTTATACTCTCAAGCAAGATTTTTTTACTGGTCAACAGTTACTAATATGGTATTATGTAAAAATGTGGATGTGTAACCGATGTGATTCTGCAATCTGTATTTGGGGTAAAAATGGGAGTCCATAACCCACTTGAATCTAATGTATGAAATATGATATGTCAAGAGCTTTGTAATGTTTTGAACAACCAATAAAAAAAATTTCTTGGTGGATTTTCAGCTGGCTTTTTACAAAATTAAGACTCTTTTATAAAGATAAAAGGCTAATGCAGGATCCAGCCTAGCTCAAATGTAGATTCATTTGGTAGATGGAAGTGATGTTTCAAATGAATCTATGCCACCCACTACAGGGCTCTGAAATCATGTTATTATGTCAATAATAGAGAACAAAAGGTTAAGAGTAGAAGAAAAACACTTAGATAACTTTAGCAAAGGTATGCCCTGCTAAAGTTCACCTGCCAGAACAGATGGCTGTTTATTGTGTACAAGATCTGTGTCAAACAAATGTTGTAATATATTTTTTCAGTGAGTTTTTCAAAAGGAAGACTATAAATTAAGAAATTGGGGAGTCAATGACAAAAACACAAGATTAATAGTGACAGCTTGCAGTAGTTTTTGTGACCCTTTGTTCTCTAAGTTATATTGCGACTCATCTGATAATTAGATGATTGCTAGCATGAAGAAATTTTACTTTCTTAGGGACCCTCTGATCAAATATCCAGACCTATGGGCTCACATATGCTGAGTCTGGCCCTTTTGAACCAGGCAGGGGTGATGAAGTTGTAATGATGTCATATGTTGACTGGTGGGATTATTCTACATGATAATGAGCCCTTCAAGAGCCTGAGTTTACATCTATTACTGCCTTTGCAAATTGATGAGTCATTAACTCCAGCTCCCTTAAAAGGAAAGCACCCACTGACTTTAAGAGGGACTTTTACAGTATATAACTTTGAAGTATTTTCTGTCATAAAAAAAAAAAAATGGTACTGGGGATTGAACCCAGGGTAGCTTTACCACAGAGTCACATCCTCAGCCCATTTTATTTTTTTATTTTGAGACAGGGTTTCATTAAATTGCTGAGGCTAAACTTGAACTTGGGATCCTCCTCTCTCAGCTTCTTGGGTCACTGGGATTATAGACCTCTCCCATTGTGCCAGCTCTTTTTGACTTCTTAATGCTTTAATTTAACTTAATTTTTCAGTACCAGGGATTGAACCCAGAGGTGTTTAACCACTGAGCCACATCCCCAGCCCTTTTTATGTTTTATTTTGAGACAGGGTCTCACTAAATTGCTTAGAGCCTCACTAAGTTTCTGAGGCTAGCTTTGAATTTGTAATCCTCCTGCCTCAGCCTCCTGAGCCACTGGGATTACAGGTATGCACCATCATGCCTGGCTTAATGTGTTCATTTTAATCAGAACAAAATGCTCTTGATATACACACAAATTTAAAAAAATAAAAAAAAAAAAACAACATGTAAGACTTAAATATTTAAAACTGAAAATTTGGCCACAATTTTCTTTTCCATGTTTAAGGAATCAGACTTTGCTGGAAAGTTTTTTCCAGATAATTTCCTTGATTCCTCAATCATTTGTTCTTCTATAACTAGAAGCTTTTGTAGCTTTGGGCAAATTAATCTCAGGCTAAATCTGGTAAAATATCCTGGGAGGTTTTGACCCTTCCTGGCTCTGTGCCTGTCTGCAAAATCAGAGCTTAAATAGCTTTACTCTTAGATACTATTTGTTTTCCTTCCCCTCTCCTTGTGATTGATTGCTATTTAACTGATACCCCTATCTTGCCCTCTAGAGAAACATGTTGTCCAAAAAAGCAGATTTTTATATGTTCAATATAACATCTCTCTACTACTTCTGTTCATAAGGAATAATTCAAATTCTTCAATTAGAATATATGCAAGAGAGTGATAAGAATGTTGGAGCCAGGCATGGTGGTGCAAGCCTGTAATCCCAGCGGCTCAGGAGACTGAGACAGGAGGATTAAGAATTCAAAGCCAGCTGTCAGGATCTGTTCATGGGTTCCATGTGGGTGACTGTGCATGGAAGCTTCATAGATAGAGACATCTGGTGTCTGGGAATGGCCAATGGACATTTCATCTGGTCAATTGCCCAGGGACAATGTGAATCTCTTTCCTGTTCTGCCATGGCCCACACAGCACCTAAGATGTCAATCAACCTTCTGACTGCAAGACATCATGAATTAAGACTCTGCCCTAGAAACCTTATCCCTGCCTTTGATGTACCCCTTTAAATAAATTACTGGAGCCATTTTCCCTTTGTCTAGTTTCAGAACCCATGTGGACTAGATCTATCAGGGGCTTCACATCCTGTGAATATATTCTGACTATTTGTGCTTTGTTACTAATTATCTGAGATTGTAAGTTTTAGGATAGCTTGGACTCCTGTGGGTAAGAAGAACCCCCCCCCAAAGATGCTGGCCATCATCCCCCCACCCCTGAATGCCAGCCTCAGCAAAAGTGAGGCACTAAGCAACTCAGTGAGACCCTGTCTCTAAATACAAAATAAGGCTGGGGATGTGGCTTACTGGTTGAATGCCCCTGAGATCAATCCCCAGTACAACTACCCCACCCCCCAAAAAAAGAAAGAATACTAGAAGGGTTTCATGCATACGAATAAAGAAATGAAGGTCCAGCAGGTTTATGGTGACTGTCATTCAACATTTGAAGGGCTATTTTTGGAAAGAATATTTAAAAGCATAGAACTATAGCCATTGAATAAATGGTGAAATAGGGATGCCTTTGAACAGCATCCCCCACTCCCAATGATAAAATGGGTTTCCTTGCGAGGGAATATAATCCAATATAAGCTGATGGGCCACTTGGGAAGATGTTATGGAAGGATGAGAAGGTAAGTTCCATGACATTTAAGTTGCTTCTAATCCTGAAAAACTATTTCTGTCCTTGTATATCTATGATATTTCTACTCAGATTCCTTTACTGATTAGCTGCATATTAAGCTACAGAAAGAATCATATTGCTAGATGCAATATACATTTCTCCTTGACTCACATCCCAAAAGAATAGACTATTTTAATATTGTAATCACCTTGACAACAGAGATGTCTATTTTAATAGCTTTCAGTAATATTATTCAAAGGAATCTCTCACCCAATAAAGTAGGGGAAAGTCTTCATGTTCTCTTTCTTTCCAAACCTCAAATAGTCTAGGATTAAACATGTGCTTTGAAATTAAAATCATTGTAAATTTGCTGAGTAAGAGAACATCAAGTGTACTTATCCCAAAGACTAGAAAGTTTTACTTAGCATAATGTGGAAAAATATATTTTTCTTATGTAATGTGCATGCAAAATGTTACTGAGTCAAAGCATGCCTCACATATTACAATCATCTCTAATTTAAAACAATTCAATGTACACACACATACACACACACACACATATATATTTAACCCTTTATATAAGGTGATGGGGCTGCTGTGAAGTCAGAGTTACTATGGCAGATGCTACACTCAACCATGTCCTATATTACTTATAATAAATTATTGTTAATTATGGGAGGACATTACATTTATAAAAGTTACACAATGTAGAAAACTATCAAGAAGAACTGCACTGGGAAATTAATCACACATGGTTCTTTCACTAGAGGGATAACTTTCCAGAAATGTACACAATCTTTGATTTAAAAACATTTAGTTTATTTTTAATAACTTAATGCCTATTTTTGATAATAATAAGTACCATTTAACTAAATATTTTCTGCATATAGATGCTATGTCACGTCCTTCAAGTTGATATCTTTTATCTTTTATCTTTATATCGTATCATTCTATATATCAAGAAACGGATGCCAGGGGAAGTTAAATATCTTGCTGAATATATTTTTTAATACCTTTATTTTATTTATTTATTTTTATGTGGTGCTGAGGATCGAACCCAGCACCTTGCACGTGCTAGGAGAGCGTTCTTTCACTGAGCCACAACCCCAGCCCTCTTGCTCAATATTATACAGTATTAAATCAGAGCAAGGATTCCAAATTTGACTCTAGAACTGGAGCTAATTCACTCATCCTTGGTACTCTCTTTCTTGATGATCATAACACTAATTTATTGTTTTTATTTTGTATAAGTTTCTGTATAAAAATAAAATTTATTTTTTTGTGGTTCCAATGATTTGCCTCCACTGTATGCTCAGTTTATCACTCAAGTGTAGAAAATTGCACTTACCCCGTTTATGAAGGAGGACGCTGGCATGGCGACGTCCATTTCCATTTTCAACATAACAAGAGTAATTTCCCAAGTCACCCTCTTCCACAGAGTCCACAATTAATGAGATAGAAACTTCTTGTTCTCCAAGATGCTCCTTAAGAATTCTAAAACATAAAGCAAAACGAAACAAAAAATCCCACACAAACATATACATACACATACATAAAAAAGAAAGAAAGGTAGGTTAATCTGAATGTAATATGAAATTATCTACAGAATCTGTGCTTCAAATGTGGCTCTGGATTGATGCTAGGATAATTAAATTATATCATGCCCTTTTTTTCTTTACTTCTAATGAGGAAGCTTGTCTTTGTAGATGCTAATGAAGTTGCAGTTAATTATCTCTCTTAGCAGGACAATCATAGTGTCATAATAAATAGGTGAAAGAGACCTTGAAGAAAAGTTTATAAATTGCCTTTCCTTTAAGAAGAAATATGATATGAAGGGAGACAAGAAATTTTAAAGTCTTAGGTTGGAGCCCTAATTATATATCAGGCCAATTTTTAAAAAGAAAGAAAAGAAAATTTCTAAGCTATTTTGATGTTTCATTTGAAACCTTCAGCCTGACTTCCATGAATAATACAACCAGTTGCCTATTTTTTTTTAAAAAAAATGAATTTACAAACCTGTAGATTAAAAGTTCTGATAAGCATTTAACTCTGACATTTTAAATGACTGATAAATGCTAACTAACCTCACTGTTAGATAATTAGCAATCTCTAAGAGTAAATGGAAAACTTCTTCAAACTAGAGATCCATTTGCCTGCTCTCAATGTTTGCCCTCACCCTCCTATCTGTTTGATAATTCATCTCTGTGCAGCACTTCTTAATGCAGAAGTAAAGAAAAATACCTTTCTAGAACCTTCCCCAGACACACACAAAACTAAAGAGAATAAAAGCTAGAAGGATATGGTCCCTCTTTAATTGTAGCATTTCCAAGAGTGTGGGTCAGAGAAAAGAGTGTAGTAGGGTAGTTTTATGTATGAAGAATGGCAGAGGGACATTTTTAGTACACATTGGACAATTGCCCATCCAGGCTTTCCAGAATCCACTTAGAGCATTCCAGACTGAGATATTCTTGTATAATGGTTGCCAAAAATAAGATTCCAATAGAAGTAATCTTATATGACAGCTTGTGTGTTTTTATTTTTTATTGAAAAACATTTTCTCTTCTACATTGGATAAGGTTTTAAAAGTCTTAACATTTAAAAAGAGAACCATGGTTTAAATACATCATATATATATTAGAATATGCAACCTTTAGATGGGAGAAGGTTTAGAAAGGATCATTATTATTTTGATTTAGTTATAATTATGAGTATCTTCTTATTTATGTCATGATTAAAAATAAGTATTTATGCCTAAGCATAAGTTTAGTCAAAATTGAATGACTTGATACTCAAAAGTAAGTTAATAAATACGTAGGTACATTGAAAAAATAAAGAGGCTAAAGCATTAATGCCTTCAAAATAGATGGTATTTTAATTGGTTGGTTCTCTTCATATTATTTCTATTAAATAAATATTTAGACCTGAAAGTCAGACTGAGAAAGATTATTAAAATGTTTTATAAATCCTTTGTCACTCCATCAAGTGTTTTATATTCTACTTTGTATCTTAAATATATAAAAACATAAAAGGAAATGATGGATATTTTGTTTGAGTCCTTGTGTCTTGTTCATGTTTCCTCTCAATAATTAAAAAAAAAAAGCTTTTACAAACAAAAGGCTCACTGATTTTTTCAAAGATAGAATGGGCTTCTATATTTTCTATATTTAATAGTATTTTAGTCTCATATTAAGTATATTCTTTAGTGAAACACATCTTTTAAAAGTTCTTTTAAATTCTTTGCAAATGGAATTCATATTTTACAATTCCATAATCAGTTTCTTAATAGAACTTTGTTTCTTTGTCCTCAAATATTATAGTATTTTAATTATGATAATAGGAAACAAAAAAAAATCACTTTTGGGGAGTGAGTAGTTAACTTTTTATTCATTCACAGAGCAAATGATAACTTGAATGAATGTACAAGTTAAAAGAAAAAAAATTATTTTACCTAATGTCACTTTCCCAAACTCGATTTTCATCAAGATCTTCAATAAACTTCTCTCCTTTCATCCAATAAATTAAAGGACTGACATCTCCACTGTACCCAAAAAAAGCTCTGCAGGTTAGATTAGCCGAGTCACCTGTGGAGAGAAGTGATGGAAATGTGTCATAAAACTATTTGTACACACTTATTTTAGGCAAACTGGAAGGTAACATTTTGAACACTTTGTTGATTTAATAAAACATCTTTATAAAAGTTTCAAAAGCAAGTTTCAAATCAGAATCATGATATTTTTTCAGGTATTTTCCCATCTTTGTTAAATTTATAGAATGTGTGCTTTTTTACAGAATTGCTTATTTAATGGAATGAGAGTTACTTATAAGATTTAGAAGAAGACCAGTCAGTTATTCTATGGAATGTTCTTCCAATTAAGTTTACCTGATGTTTTCTCATGATTAGATTGAGGTTATGAATTATTGGGAAGGATACCACAGAGGTAATGTGCCCTTCTGGAGGCATGATATCAGAGGGTACATAACATTCATAACTACAACATTCTATAAGGCAGTTAGGAAATGTTTCTCAGTCTTTAATGCAGGAAATGGAAAGGGAGCACACTGTTTAGCTGAAAAAAAAATAAACTATAAATCTGGGAAACCAAGAAAATGCTGTTAAGAATTTTTTTCTTTATAAAGAATATCATTTTAATACATCTCTAGATAGAAACATGTATTTAAAAACAAATAAACAATTCATGTTAGTAAATGTTTGGGATTTTCATTAGAGATAAAATCAACAATACTACTGTGAATTTCACTATGCTGCTCAGGAAGGACTATTATAATGGTGAACACAGGTTAGTTGACTACTTAATAAGGTAAGTGGAAGTCCCACACTAAAATTGGAAGTGAAGTTAATGCCTGCAGAATGGTTTGTGCCATTTTGTAAATACCTGGTTTACCCAAACCTCAGCCAGCACTACAAAACTAAAATATTCTAACACACAATAGTTTTATGATCTTGCTGACTTGAAATTGAGTCAGAAATTGGGAGGTGATATGGGGTGAAGTAAGAGCCTACTCCAGTTGCAATGGGGAAAGGGAAATCTTGAGAAAACTTTTTCAATTAGTTTTAGCCATATATTATGAGATATTACTAGAGGGTCCTGATAACTCTATAATTTTAAAGTGCAAAGAAGGAAATTCCTCAGTACTGGAAATCTCAGAAGTATGTTCTGAGTTATATTATTAGTGAACATCTTTAACATCTTTCAAAATTGTGCTTATGACCATTTCTGCAACATGAACACAGAGAAAGGCAAAATTCATTGAGATATAATTGCTTAGAAAGCAGGCATGGGTATTTTGTAATTTACTTCTACAACAAAAAACATTTTTTTGGTTAAAATTAGTCTTGTTCTCTTAATTATGTGTGTTGGATAAGAGGAGTTATTTAAAAACTTGCTTTTATAATACTTTAAGATGGCAAATTATAATCCTTCTGCTTTTATCTTTGTTCATGTCCACATGTTCTCCAAGAGTTTCCTCGCCGACTTTGATTCTATATATAATAGTTACCACTGATGACCACATAAGGCAAGTCCAGAAATTATCTAGCAGCTTTTAAGAGGCAAAATGGAGCTTCTAGAAGGATCTTTCATTATTAGTTATTGTATGTAAATATTCTTGAAATATTTTAATATGGAATTCCTCTCTCTTTTGGAGGATATTTACACAACAAAATGGATAAATGAATATCAATTTTACTGACTGGGAGTCAACTACACATTTCTATGGAAAGTATTGACCAAAATTATAAAATACTCTTAAATATCTTATGTTTTCATGAGAACATTAGTTCTTTTTATGTAACTGAATTACCTGTTATACTGTCAAGTAGTCATAAATTCAATAGCAAGTTTCAAATCAGAATCATGATATATTGCAGGGGTTTAAAAAGGTACATACTGGGCATGGTGCTTCACACCTTAATCCCAGGGGCTCAGGAGGCTGAGGCAAGAGGATTGTGAATTCAAAGCCAGCCTCAGCAAAAGCGAGGCACTAAGCAACTCAGTGAGACCCTGTCTCTCTATAAAATACAAAAAAAAAAAAAAAAAAAAAAAAAAGCTTGGTTGAGTGCCTCTGAGTTCAATCCCCTGTACCAAAAAAATAAAAAATAAAAATGTATCTATAAATAATTCATTTATCTGTGATTTAAGAGATCAAGTTCAAGTTTTGAGGTGGGACTTAATGCTTGGAAATCATAAATAGAAATCTCTAGAGATTGACTAATTTTACAATACAATTTTGCTAAATATGGGGACTTATAAATATTGATCACACTATTAGAAATTCACCCTGATATTTCTGAACAGAGAGGCAACTTGAAGTACTCATTGGGACTTGAATTATTCTCTCACATTATCCTTCTTTCTCAGCTAAACTACTTTCCATTTCTTTAACTTGCAGGCCTTGTTATGTCAAACCTAGGAAATGGCTCCTGCACTCATGAGGATAATGTTGTGCTTTGTTAGTCATCGAGGCTCATGTGGGGTCTTTGAATACCCACTTTGCTTTGAGCTCCAGTACTGAGTATATCTGCAGTGCCATAAAAGCACCTAGAAGAACTCCACTCAGACTTGGGTTGGGCTTCTTCTTGTGGATCAGAGGGTGCAATTCATGGAAATAATAGACAAGAATGGAAGGATAAAAACAGATAAGCACTGCAGGCAAATAAGAAAGAGCATTGGTAAGAATTACTCAGGGAAATATAGGGGAAATAAAATGAGCGCAGAGTGGCTGCAGCAGAAATATACATGGGAGGCTGGAGTAGAGCAAATACTGAGGGTGAGGACAGAGCAGAGCATTGATGAGGCTAGAGCAGAAGCAGCCCTGTTCTTCTATGTAGGACATGGTGAAGAGTTGAGGCTTTCATTTAAGAGCAGCGGAAAGCTGGGGAAGGGTTTCAAATAGAGCACAGACATTATCACATTTATCTTCTAAGGGAATCATCTATCTTCTAAGGGAATTACTCTTACTGTATTTTCAAATTTGGGATTAGATCAGAGAGAATTGAGAAGGATTAAGAATGTTACAATGCTCCAGGATCACATAAGAAATAGTCACAGCAAAGATCAGATTATTTCTATATAATTTAGAAAAGGACAATAACTGCAGAGCATTATGATGTTATCAGTGTGATAATAGGGAGCATATCAAAGTAGAGACTAATAGATAATATATTTTTATTTATATATATTTTTGTGTATGTTTTCTATGAGAGAGGGGGGAGGAATTGATTGATTTGGGGGAGCTGCCAGCTGCTTCTCAATATAGGCAAGACAGAAAGTCAATTTGAGCAATGCTGTTCTGTGAAGAGATTTTTCAGTGGTTCCTCTTAATTGTACCAATTTGTGTTACTGAGCAAAAGGCACCACTCTCTTTCTTGTGCATAGTTTTGCTAGCAAGCAACACACTAGAATCCCAGTGGAGTCAGTCCTTAGAGAAGGTTGGTGAAGTCAAGTTCATATCTGAGATTATATGCCAGAGTCTAAATGTTGCTGAGAAAATCTAGGTCCATCCAGTACTGTTTATTAGGGAAACGGTGACCAATCAAATATGCTTGAGAGCTGTGACCTTGGAGCCCAAGTGCATATTACCACGTGTTTGTAACAGGGAATGAAGGTCAGTCATCCCTTTCTCTTAGGCTGAACCAGGATTTGGTAGAAATTCATGGGGCAAGGTGGGGCCTCAGGAAAGATGGTGTATGTCCACACAATAGGAGCAAATACATAAGGAAATAAGAACAAATAGTCCTTAAGAAAATAAAAATGATGTCACTGTGTTTATACCTTGGGCTAATTAAGTGGATTACACTTTTCTTGGAATTCTCTTCATTTTCAACTAGTATACTCCTCATCCATTAAGTCCCAACTCAAATAACACCTTTCCAAAAAAAATCTGGTTTTCCTTGTGAAAAAATGTTCAGTCTGTCCTTTATTTTTCTATTCCTATTGGAATGTACTTGTATTTCATCATAATATAGTCCTTGCAGTATTTGCTGTGCTTGCATGTCTAACCTAGCAACTAGAGTATACATTCTCCAAAGGCAAAAATTATATCTGTATTTGCCTTTGTATTACCAGGGCTGATTATAGTGTATTGAATATATTAGAAACTCAATAAATAATTTCAAGTTAATAATTTGCTTAGTGTCTTTTGAACTTTCATTTTACCTTATTTTCCCCTTTCAAAATTTCATTCATTAAAGACTACATGTCTACATATCTCAATAGACCAAATCTATCTTGTAAACTACCCTTCTCATTGCAAAAAATGATCTCCTCATTCAGGTATTATTTTAGTGGTGTGTTGGAGATGGTCCTTACCAACTTGTACTAAATTTTCAGAAATTCTATAAGCAGGTTATTAAATACAGTCATTAAAAATTAAATTATGGGCCAGGTACATTGGCACACTGCTATAATCAAATGACTTGGGGGGCTGAGGCAGGAGGACCATTAATTCAAAGCCAGCCTTAGCAATTTAGCAAGGCTGTGAGCAACTTAGCAAGACCCCATTCAAAATAAAAAATAAAAAAGGGCTGGGATGTGGCTCAGGGTTAAGCATCTCTGGGTTCAATCCCAAAAAAGTAAATAAATAAAATAAAATAAATTATGGGCCAGGTGTGGTGACATACAACTGTAATCCCAACTATTACCAAGGTTGAGGCAGGAGGATTACAAGTTTGAAGTCAGCCTCAGCAACTTTGCAAGGTCCTAAGCAACTTAGGAAGGCCTGGTCTCAAAATAAACTAAAAATAAAAAGGGTTGGGGATGTAGCAGAGTGACAAAATTCCCATGGGTTCAATCCCCAGTACCAAAAATAAATAGATAAATAAATAAATAAATTATAGGATGCGGTGTAGCTTAAGGGTAGAAAACTGCCCTGACATGCATGAGGCTCTGGGTTTGATCTGCAGCACTACAAAAACATTAAATTACAGGAAAACAATGAAACAAATTATATTAAAATAGATACTCAAAAGTTATTTACAGGGACTGAGGTTGTGGCTTAGTGGCAGAGCACTTGCCTCACACATGTGAGGTGTTGGGTTCGATCCTCATCACCGTGTAAAAAT